AATCGGTAATCAGTAATCAGTTTGGAGGCGTACCTTTTTCCTCATGGATGCGTTGGGATGGACCAGTACCACAAAGCACAGTGACCAACTACAATGGCATCAATAACAACAACGCTTAACCCCAGCAGACTGGCTGGCAAAATATCTCTCAGGCCAGAGTACACGGCACTGAGCCGGGGTAATACTACTGAGCCAAATACCTTGCCGCTCCATTACGCAATGTATGTCAACAGACCACGAAAGGCTACTATTGCTCAATGTCTGAATATCAATGTATCGTTACGTATTATGGAAGGAGATGCTTTCTACTTTCTGCAAGCAAGTTTGCAGCATTGATGTGACGGTGGACTTAGACTATTTGTCTTTAGGGTCAATGGGATGCTCGTTTGAATTGGTACAGTAAAGCATGAAAATCTAGGGCATGGACATTAGCCAGAACTACTGAGACGAGATATACTGTAGTTGACATATTTTTAAACTCACACATACTCACAGTCCCGATGATATGTCTGATATGATGTGATATGAAATGTCAAACTGGGAATAAGGTCGGGGCGTCCACTCAACGCCCTCCACCCAAGCTCCGTGTGACAAGCCCCGTCAGACAATCAAAGGGCCACATGTCTTCAGGTGTCTGGTTTTTTAGCGTAGCCTCCAATCCTCTCCTACTATTCTCTCTGCTGACCCCTCACAGACAGCAAGAGCTCGTTTCTCAGTCCCAGGTTCCTCAGCAGTATAGAATAGAACCATATTTCTCCCTCCCTGCTCCCACCACTACTTCAACCCCCCACCACACCACACCACACCACACACTGATGACAAATCAGCAATGCTGAGTTAGAGTCCATGGGCCTTTCACAAGCTGTCAGATTTTCAGGGTCACTGCTTATTTGTCGGGTTTGCTTAGTCAAAATTCTCAGCCTGCCTCAACCTCACACGTTAGGAGAGGGTGGCGGTAGGAGGCCGGTTCTGTTTCGTTTTGGCTGTAGCCTCTAGGCTTTAAAGAAGGACAACGTCCCCAGAGACAAAAGAGCTGACCCGACCCCATTTACCCGGGTCATGTCAAGACATCGCATTAGCGGTCAGAGGGTGTTGCGGTCACAGTACAGTATCGTCATAGAGGTCCAATTCCCATGACATCATCAATATTCCAGACTTTTCTTTCATTCTTCAATCATCTCTTCTTTTGTTCGTTGGGTTCTTTTAAATTCTCCCGTCATTTCTTCTCTGTTCGTTGGGTTCGGTCATTGAATCAATGAGAGACTGACTCAATGGATTGATTGAATAGACAGCTCTCCGAAGTTGAAACGCCATGCTTTTTGCTTGGAAATAATACAGTTCTGTGTGTCTTGTGTAGAACATGGCATGGCACACTACATATACTCCTAGTGAGGATAGTGTTGTAGCTTAGCAGTATACATTATGAAGTCATCTGACCAGAAGTCAGGCCAACTTCTAAGTCCCCCCGCTTTGACCTGACTTGTTCAACTATAGCTCCACTAATTGCTCCGATGTAATTATGTATTTTCCAACGTTTCGACCGCAAGCTGTCTTCATCAGGGTTTCATGACACTGCAGGTCACCAGTATAGGTTTTGATAGGACACGCGCAGGTGTTCATAATTCTATGGCCGGCTATGGCCTGATGTCATTGGTCAATATACAGATAATATAGAAAAAAAAGCACAAATAGATATAAAACGATCACAGATGGCCTACAATTTCATCATAATCAGCCTAGTGTACAACATATGATTTAGAATAGATAACAGAATCACAGGAATGGTTTCAGATCAAACTCAACATTCAGACTATAGGGAGCAAGGGTCTTTAAATTAAAGATCCATGCAGCCTCCCATTTTAACAATAAATTGTCAAGGTCACCCCCTGTCCTAGGGAGGGTGACATGTTCGATGCCGGTATAGCGAAGGGGTGAAATAAGGTGGTTTGCTTCTAAAAAGTGGGCAGAAAATGGGTATGTCAAGTTTTTACACCTAAAGGGGCTACGGTGCTCAGAGATTCATACTTTTAGTTTGTGCTTTGTTTTACCTTACTGTAGCTGCAGCCAGCAGTCTTCAATGTACGCTCTCTGCATGGTTCCTTAGTTTAATGTGACCGTGCAGTGGAGTTGAGACAAGTGTTTGGCGAGCTATTGCAATGGATCATATTGCGCTTAGTGCTTGTTCAATGAATCTGCCCCTCCAGATCGGTTCTGGAACCACTAAGCTGCTGGAGCCAATAAGCCAATGAGCAAGGCAGAAACCAGCAGGGGGATGGGTGAAAACGAGCGAGAGAGAGATAGAGCAGGACGAGAGAGAGAGAGGAGAGCGAGAGAGAGAGAGAGAGATAGAGAAGAGAGAGAGAGAGAGAGAGGAGATAGATCGCTACGATATAGACTCGAGAGAGCTCGAGAGAGATCGATCGAGCTATCGATACAGGGCTCTCTCTCTCTCTATACTCTCTCTCTCTTTCTCTCCTCGTGTTTTTTTTTTTGTGAGTTTGTCTTGCACTGCTGAGTTAGACATTATGCTAGGGATTGCTTGGCGAGCAGTGAAGTGCAAAGGCGTTGTCACCTCATTTCACTCTTTCACTCTGATGCAGCGTTAATGAGTCTGTCTCTCTCTCTCTGTGCTGCTTCTCCATCAATGCTGTTTTCTCTCTCTCTCTGCTGTTTTCTCTCAATTCTGCCACAAACAGTAGGCTACAGTATTCACAATAAATGTGTTGTCAGTGTGTTTGTTGAATATCAATCATTGTTTCAATTTGCATTTCATTTCACTCCCCTCTGTTGGACGACAGAGAATTTTCCAAAGACGATTGTTGTGTGCTGCTACTGAAATACTACTTTTACCACAGTTACAGATCAGGGATGGAATATAGGGGCCTACCATGAGACTTGAGGTGAAAGACCACATAGGGGCCTACCATGAGACATGAGGTGAAAGACCACATAGGGGCCTACCATGAGTCTTGAGGTGAAAGACCACATAGGAGCCTACCATGAGACTTGAGGTGAAAGACCACATAGGGGCCTACCATGAGTCTTGAGGTGAAAGACCACATAGGGGCCTACCATGAGACATGAGGTGAAAGACCACATAGGGGCCTACCATGAGGATTGAGGTGAAAGACCACAAACATATCGGTGAAACATCACACTGTGAAAAATAGGTGACAAAGCTCCATGCAGCCTGTTATAGGAGGTCCCATCTCGCAGAACAGAGTCTGTTTAGAACGCTGAGCACGATGACCTCACATTCTTATTTTAGACCAAGAATGTGCTGATGTGTTGGATCCCAAGCCATTATGATATAACCAGGTTAGGCATGGATTTGGATAGTAATTTTAAGATGCTATTTGACGAAACTTTAATGAGCTGCGATCCTGTCCTGCATATAGTGTTTTTAGTGCACTAAACATAAAGCAGTCTGACATTCACAGCAGTGCTTTGAAAACATTATTACAAGACTAAAGAGTTAGAGTTAGAGAACTCGCATATCTCTCTAGTCTCTAGAGAGAGAGCAAGAGAGAGAAGAGAGAGAAGCAGAGAGAGAGAGAGAGAGAGAGTAGAGAGAGAGAGAGAGAAGAAAAGAAAGAGGGGAAAAAGAAGGAAGAGAAGAGGGGGGGGGAGAGAGAGAAAGCGAAAGAAAGAATAGAAAGGAAGAGAAGAGAGAGATAGAGAGAGAGAGAGAGAAAGAAAGGGGCAAAAGGACGAGAGAGAGAGACGAGAGAGAGAGAGACGAAAAGAAATAAGAAAGGAAAGAAAGAAGGAAGAGGAAAAAAGAAGGAAAGAGAAGAGAGGGAGAGAGAGAGAGGACGAAAGAAATGAGGAAAGAGAGGAATGAGAGAGAGAGAGAGAGAGAGAGAAGAGAGAGAGAGAGCGAAGAGAGAGAGAGAGAGAGAGAGAGAGAGAAACGGAAAAAAGAAAGAAAGAGAAAAAGGAAGGAAGAGAAGAGATGAGAGAGAGAGGAGAAAAGAAAGAGAAAAGAGAGGAGAGAGAGAGGAGAGAGAGAAGAGCGAGAGAGAGAGAGAGAGAGAGGAAGAGATAGAGAGAAAGAAAAAAGAAAGGAAGCACGATGAGAGAGCGAGAGAGAGGAGAAGAGAGAGAGGAGAGAAAGAAATAAGAAAGGAAAGAAGAAAAAGAAAAAAAAAGAAAAAACCTATCCACAACTGGGCCAAGATACAACCCACTTGGTACTGGGTGTAAAAAAAAAACAAAAAAACGCGAGAGAGAGAGGCAGAGAGAGAGAGGGAGAGGAAGAGAGAGAGAGGAGGAGGAGAGAGAGAGGAAAGAAGAGAAAGAAAAAAAAAAGAAAGAAAGAGGGAAAAAGAAGGAAGAGAAGATGAGGGAGAGAGAGAGAAGAGGAGCAAAAAAGGAGAAGAAGAGAGAGAGTGAGAGAGGAGAAGATAGAGAGAGAGAGAGAGAGAGAGAGAGAGAGAGAGAGAGAGAGAAGACAAGGAAAGAAGGAAGAGGAAAAAAAGGGAAGGAGCGAGGGAGAGAGAAGAGAGAGAGAGCGAGAGAGAGAGAGGAGGCGGAGAGAGAGAGAGAAAGAAAAAGAAAGAAAGAAGAAAAAGAAAAAAAAAAAAATATGCAGCGAAGAAGAGAGCGAGAGAGAGAGCAGCGCGAGGGAGAGAGAGAGAGAGCGCGACAGGGAAATAGAGAGAAGAGAGGAGCGAGAGAAAGAAAGAGAAAGAAAAAAAAAAGAAAGAAAGAAAGAGGATGAAAGCAACTGCAACGTCCGAGAAAAAGAAGCGAGCGTCGAGCGCTAGCGATAGCGCGCGAGCGAGACTCTCTCAGCGCAGCGCCGCTATATATCTCTAAAATACCTGTAAGATATCTCCCCTCTCGCTCACTCTCATCTATCTGCTCCCTATTCCCTCTCCTTCACCTCCCTACTCTCTCATTTCTCTGCTCTTCTCCTTCACAATCTCCACTCTCTCACTCTCTCACTCTCTCTGCAGTTGCCCTGAAGAACTCTACTTTCAACGGAGTGCTGGCCAATGGTGGTAGCGCTGACAACAGCAAATCCACGGGATTGGCGGACAGTTGGCTGTCTGAAGGAGAGCTCTTGCTGCAGGTCAGTGCTAAAGGCATGTGGAATCTTCTAAAATAAAAGAAGACAAAAACAGACTGTCTTTGCTGTTGGTAATTACAAGGCTTAATATCCAGTGATGAAGTGTTGGATATACCCCATAACTCGCTGGCCCCACTGTCTTTAATACAAAATGTAACAGCTTGTTTGTAGCTCCGGTTATCAATTCCCATAATACACCATAATACTCCCATCATTTTGTCATACTAGAATTCATTCTCATTTCATTTAGTTTACGACTTCATCACAATTTCTACGGAGCTATTTTCATTTTGTTTCTCTGTATGTGTGATTGAGTGGAGAGTGAGCTAGTTGGCTGCCAAATCTCTTTTGGATAAGCTAGAGTCATTGATTTTCCAGTCCAGTTCCCCTGTATGTGCAGCACAGTGGAATTCCAGAGCAGCACAGAGGAAACAGTCTGCCAGACATCCCTGCCCTATGAGCGAAGTTTCATTATTATGATAAACCTACATCTCTCCCAATGTGTTGGTAATGAAGCATGAAAGCTCATTCTGGGGAGGAGGAAATCTTTTATTCAGATTGAGATAACAGCCACAGGACATTTTAAGAGACAGAGAGGCAGGACGAAAAGGCGAGGTTAAGGGAAGAAGTGGAGAAGGAAAGCGGTGAAGAGGGCTATTTCTGACCATGTCTGATTTCTCTCTTCTTCTTCTTTGTGGTTCAATGTCAGACACTTAAAAGTGAATTATAGAGGAGCTGTGAGGTCATTATTTACAGCAGGAGAAGAAGAAGAAAAGAGAGGAAAAACAGATGAATTGAGTTTTCACCCTTCACAGACCCAGGACAGCCTGATTTCACCCTTCACAGACCTAGGACAGCCTGTTTTCACCCTTCACTGACCTAGGACAGCCTGTTTTCACCCTTCACAGACTTAGGACAGCCTGTTTTCACTCTCACAGACCTAGGAAAGCCGGTTTTCACCCTTCACTGACCTAGGACAGCTGTTTCACCCTTCACTGACCTAGGACAGCCTGTTTTCACCCTTCACAGACCTAGGACAGCCTGTTTTCACTCTTCACAGACCTAGGACAGCCTGTTTTCACCCTTCACAGACCTAGGACAAATTGTTTTCACCCTTCACAGACCTAGGACAGATTGTTTTCACCCTTCACAGACCGAGGACAGCCTTTTTTCACCCTTCACAGACCTAGGACAGCCTGTTTTCACCCTTCACAGACCTAGGACAGCCTGTTTTCACCCTTCACAGACCTAGGACAAATTGTTTTCACCCTTCACAGACCTAGGACAGATTGTTTTCACCCTTCACAGACCTAGGACAGCCTTTTTCCCCTTCACAGACCTAGGACAGCCTGTTTTCACCTTTCACAGACCTAGGACAGCCTGTTTTCACCCTTCACAGACCTAGGACAACCTGTTTTCACCCTTCACAGACCTAGGACAGCCTGTTTTCACCCTTCACAGACCTAGGACAGCCTGTTTTTTCACCCTTCACAGACCTAGGACAGCCTGTTTTCACTCTTCACAGACCTAGGACAGCCTGTTTTCACCCTTCACAGACCTAGGACAGCCTGTTTTCACTCTTCACAGACCTAGGACAGCCTGTTTTTTTCACCCTTCACAGACCTAGGACAGCCTGTTTTCACTCTTCACAGACCTAGGACAGCCTGTTTTCACCCTTCACAGACCTAGGACAGCCTGTTTTCACTCTTCACTGACCTAGGACAGCCTGCTTTCACCCTTCACAGACCTAGGACAGCCTGTTTTCACCCTTCACAGACCTAGGACAGCCTGTTTTCACTCTTCACAGACCTAGGACAGCCTGTTTTCACCCTTCACAGACCTAGGACAGCCTGTTTTCACTTTTCACAGACCTAGGACAGCCTGTTTTTTCACCCTTCACAGACCTAGGACAGCCTGTTTTCACTCTTCACAGACCTATGACAGCCTGTTTTCACCCTTCACAGACCTAGGACAGCCTGTTTTCACTCTTCACAGACCTAGGACAGCCTGTTTTCACCCTTCACAGACCTAGGACAGCCTGTTTTCACCCTTCACAGACCTAGGACAGCCTGTTTTCACCCGTTTCACTGACCTAGGACAGCCTGTTTTCACCCTTCACAGACCTAGGACAGCCTGTTTTCACCCTTCACAGACCTAGGACAGCCTGTTTTCACCCTTCACAGACCTAGGACAGCCTGTTTTCACCCTTCACAGACCTAGGATAGCCTGTTTTCACCCTTCACAGACCTAGGACAGCCTGTTTTCACCCTTCACAGACCTAGGACAGCCTGTTTTCACCCGTTCACTGACCTAGGACAGCCTGTTTTCACCCTTCACAGACCTAGGACAGCCTGTTTTCACCCTTCACAGACTTAGGATAGCCTGTTTTCACCCTTCACAGACCTAGGACAGCCTGTTTTCACCCTTCACTGTCATTGTTGAAAATAGACTCAGACCTAGGACAGCCTGTTTTCAACCTCTTATACTCAAAGTAGTCCCACAGAAGCCTGACACCCCCGCCATGTAGGAATGTACCCTAACACCCCCGCCATGTGGGAATGTAGCCTGACACCCCTGCCATGTGGGAATGTAGCCTGACACCCCTGCCATGTAGGAATGTAGCCTGACACCCCTGCCATGTGGGAATGTAGCCTGACACCCCTGACATGTGGGAATGTAGCCTGACACCCCTGCCATGTAGGAATGTAGCCTGACACCCCGCCATGTAGGAATGTAGCCTGACACCCCCGCCATGTAGGAATGTAGCCTGACATCCCCGCCTTGTGGGAATGTAGCCTGACACCCCCGCCATGTGGGAATGTAGCCTGACACCCCCGCCTTGTGGGAATGTAGCCTGACACCCCCGCCTTGTGGGAAAGTAGACAGATCCTTTAAGTGTTGGTACTGTACCAGCATGCAAAAATGCAGAGCCATTGGGATGTGGTTTATTTTCTGTTCAACCACGAAGTCTACAATCTAGTTTGAACACATTGTGGTTCTCTGATGGCAAGAGTTCTACTGTGTTCATATGGAGTCTGCCACTAGGGGCTTGTTACATTTATTTCACTTCACTAATTTGTAGTTGCTGAATGCCTGGTACATTAAACCCTGGAAGTTGGCTATTTATTTGCAAGATGGAGTACAAACCATCCAAGCTGACATGATGGTGTTTAGGTTTCCCTGGACTGGACTGCTTACACACACAGAGGATATGCTGCAGATAATTGGGGTGAATCATTTATTGTTAGTGAAAGAGCAACATGACATCACCATGCCTTAGTCATGGTTCAGCCCCTGAGAAAACTGATGGGACATTCTGTGGATGCACCCATTGCACTGTGAGTGTATTAGTGTGGACGTCTGTGTGTGTGTGGCCAGGGGTTTTGTGTGTGTTAGCAAATCAGGTGATGGACGAACATGCTAATGTCTGTTTTGTTTGAATAAGGTAGATATGGTTGTATGCCTGTTTGTGCATTTGTTTACAAAATGTTTTTGTGTACGAGGGAGTGGGAGTGTGTTTAGTGAGGTGGAAACATGGGAACAGCTGTTCCCGTTTGGGATAAAACAAATGAGTGACTAATCCATCTATCTGTTATTCCTGACATTATTGGTTTATCTCTCCAGTTCAGAACAAACCCATCTTGCATGTAGCACACTGACAACACCTCATCCACTCTGGGGTGCAGAGTCCACCAATCTCACTGTAGGAGACCTCACAACCACTACACTCACAATTTTTCTTAAGTAATCAAAAAACATTGTCTCGTTAAGCAAAATTCTGTAAATTTAAAACATATCTAAGTCCGTATGCGATGCATGTTGGAACAGAACCCGGAGATATGAAAAGACTAAGGAAGGACTAAGAACCAGACAAGGCACCAGGATAAAGTGACTAAGGGGGCAGTTGAAATCGGTTCTTGCATTGGAATTATATTGAATTCTGCTTATATCACAATAAACATAAAGTTCAAATGCCCAGACTCCGAGACCATCGGTTGAGTGCTTTTGAAGTGACAGGTTGGAGCGAAATCTGTATCAGCACAATGAACAGCGCCCTACACACTAAAGCCAGGCCGTTTTGGTAATGAATATAGGCTACAGGATAGATAGGGTAATTCACCTATTACAAACTGCCTATGTGAATGCAGCCAGACACACAGCTGTCTCACCAAAATAATGCAAACTAAATGCTGAAAGTAGTAGCCTAGTTATTCATGCATTCAAACAAAAATACTGAATAGCAGTTTGGCTTAGAATACCGACACAACTGCGAATGCGAACGAATGAATGCGAACAGAACAAACCAGCGGTAATAAGTAGTAGGCCTAGTCAACAAAATATCAGATTGATAAAGGAATGACACTATCTATATTTAGGCTAGTTACATTAACAGTTAACAAAAGGTGAATGGAGATCCAGATAACCAAAACATAGCCTACTACAGTGAGATGCAGCCATGCACAGCTGTCTTGACAAACAAATAGGCCTATAGGCCCACTTTCAACATGGAAAACCATACCGCTCATGAGTTCAGCAACACGTAGTGATATGGCACAATACACTTCTGTGGATCAAATTTGACTCATGTAATCAATTAAGGAATGCCAGCCTACCATAAACCGCGTTTCCAATACGTACAGTTCTGTTTACAGCAACAAAAACCAACATGCTACCAAGAAAACCATAATATAATGTATTTATTTCTATGATGAAACATACCGATATATAGCTATACCATGGGGCGTCATTTGGGTTCTTGCATTGGAATTATATTGAATTCTGCAGTAACCGAGTATTCCAGCCACTCTCTTCCTATGAACCATTTGCTATTAGATGAACGTTTTTGGACAGAGAACCTGCGGCTAGGGTAGGATTCTAGGCTAACCTGGGCTGGCTCCTCTGTTCCAAGATTGTCAGGAACAATCGGAGGTGGAGCAGGCTGTGGAGCCATTATCCTTGTGGAAGGGTGGGTAGGCTCTGCACGCAGAACTAGCTGGAGCTCGGCAGCGTCATTGCTTGGCAGCATCATCGCATGGCAGCATCATCGCATGGGGTGGCGGCGGCGGCCTCGGTGGATTGATGCTGCTGCTGCTGCTCATCACTCTCCTTCTCCTTTGTTTGGGTACTTTGGCGAAGCCAATTTCTTATATCCATTGTGGCAGTGGGAGATTAGCTGGTTCGAGCTAGCTAAATAGGCTAAGGCTAATAACACTAACGCTTTTTACAGCTAGCTAAGAAGCTAACTAAACTCTGATGGTGGGGCATGAGGCATAGTTGAGTGAAGCAGCTTCAATGGTAAACTTGACCCCGCCCTTATAAATAAATCTAATATTACAGGCGGAGGCATAACACGTTATTCACTGAGCCTACCACAGATGGAAACCCAAAGGAGTCGTATCTAACTGCCCAGTGGCTTTCCATAGTCCCCCTACAAACACCGCGACACGATCTGTCCATTGTGCTGACACAGCGCAGCGGAGATACAGATTTTGCGCCAACCTGTCACTCAATCATTTGACATTTTTTGCTATTTTCATATAGGTATATAAAACTAAAACTGAAGGGACACAAGTTTCAACTGAGGGGGCTGAGCCCCCTTTGCCCCCTCGTGGAACCGGGGCCTGCTAAGAAAGGAAGGGCTAAGCCCAATGGAAGGACTAAGCCCAATGGAAAGACTAAGCCCAATGGAAAGACTAAGCCCAATGGAAGGACTAAGCCTAATGGAAAGACTAAGCCCAATGGAAAGACTAAGCCTAATGGAAAGACTAAGCCCAATGGAAAGACTAAGCCCAATGGAAAGACTAAGCCCAATGGAAAGACTAAGCCTAACCGAAGTGTATTATTTCCCCCCTTTATTTTGACAGGGAGTCATGCTGAGACCATGGTCTCTTTTACAGATGAGCCCTGTATACACATCAATACACGAAAAGCAAAACACAATCATAGAAAACAAACAAATTCTTCACTAAAAAGGTCCTCAATCGGCCTTTTGAATTGCCCTAGAGGCACCATCATCCAATTTTACAGAGCCTTGGAGATTATTCCACAAGTAAGGTGCAAACATACTAAAAGCTGATTTTTACCTGACTCATTAGTTAGTAGCATTGTGTTGTCTAACAATCTTTTCTTATCTTGTGCATGTTTGACAAACAGGCTCTGAATGGCTTCGTCCTGGTGGTCACTAATGATGGGACCATGTTTTACTCCTCTCACACCATCCAGGATTACCTGGGCTTCCACCAGGTACCGTACAGATTGTCCCTCCTCCCTTTCCGTACCCCAGTGAAGGTTATATCCCTAAAGCATGACCAGAGTGTTCTGTGCCTCAGCTCATTCATAATAGACAAGCAGGCATCTGGTGAGGCAGCTGGATCGTCTTTGGGGTCTTGGCTGACTAATAGCATTAATTCTACTGCTGGGTCAGCCTGGTGCAGCATTAGCATGCATGTTTGCAAACGTTAAAGCATAATCCTCCATTGACACATGGTCATCTCTGCTTGAGGTTTTTATAATTCATTGCATGCAATACAAACATAGAATGATACCCTGTAGAGCTGTAGAGGTTGTCCCTGTCGAGACAGATGCCTATGGCATCAAATAATTGGTTTTCTCTTGCTAAATAGATTTGATCTCAATGAGACTAACCTGTATAAACATGATTAAATGAAAATAGTATTCATTGGCGTTACGGTTGGGTTTGGGGGTTGCGTGCGGTGTCTGCTGCGATCTGTCGGGGGCCGTTGTCTGGGCCCTACCTGCTCGGTGAGGAGTCTGATTCTGCTCAGCAGGTCCACAGAGAGAGACTGGGAGAGAATAGTCTATTAATAGCATGGCCTTTAGTGGAAAGGGACCACCAGCCGTGGTAGTGGGCAGTGGGCAGCAGCCCTAGCCAGCACGACAGCATCACATACACTGCAGAGATGGATGGGAGTATACTGAAGGAGTGACATTATGGGAACATCACTATACTGAAGGAGTGACATTATTGGAACATCACTATAGTGAAGGAGTGACATTTTGGGAACATCACTATAGTGAAGGAATGACGTTATGGGAACATCACTATACTGAAGGAGTGACATTATGGGAACATCACTATACTGAAGGAGTGACATTATGGGAACATCACTATACTGAAGGAGTGACATTATTGGAACATCACTATAGTGAAGGAGTGACATTATGGGAACATCACTATACTGAAGGAGTGACATTATGGGAACATCACTATACTGAAGGAGTGAAGTTATAGGAACATCACTATACTGATGGAGTGACGTTATGGAACATCACTATACTGAAGGAGTGACGTTATGGGACATTCACTATACTGAAGGAGTGACATTATTGTTCCAATAATGTCACTCCTTCACTATAGTGATGTTCCCATAATGTCACTCCTTCACTATAGTGATGTTCCAATAATGTCACTCCTTCACTATAGCGATGTTCCCATAATGTCACTCCTTCAGTATAGTGATGTTCCCATAATGTCACTCCTTCAGTATAGTGATGTTCCCATAATGTCACTCCTTCACTATAGTGATGTTCCCATAACGTCACTCCTTCACTATAGCAGTGTTCCAATAACGTCACTCCTTCACCGTAGCAATGTTCCCATAATGTCACTCCTTCAGTATAGTGATGTTCCCATAACGTCACTCCTTCACTATATTGATGTTCCCAAATACGACACTCCTTCAGTATAGTGATGTTCCAATAACGTCACTCCTTCAGTATAGTGATGTTCCAATAATGTCACTCCTTCACTATAGCGATGTTCCCATAATGTCACTCCTTCACTATAGTGATGTTCCAATAATGTCACTCCTTCACTATAGCGATGTTCCCATAATGTCACTCCTTCAGTATAGTGATGTTCCCATAATGTCACTCCTTCAGTATAGTGATGTTCCCATAATGTCACTCCTTCACTATAGTGATGTTCCCATAACGTCACTCCTTCACTATAGCAGTGTTCCAATAACGTCACTCCTTCACCATAGCAATGTTCCCATAATGTCACTCCTTCAGTATAGTGATGTTCCCATAACGTCACTCCTTCACTATAGTGATGTTCCCAAATACGACACTCCTTCAGTATAGTGATGTTCCAATAACGTCACTCCTTCAGTATAGTGATGTTCCCATAATGTCACTCCTTCACTATAGCGATGTTCCCATAACGTCACTCTTTCAGTATACTGTGCATTCGGAAAGTATTCAGACCCCTTGACTTTTTCCACATTTTGTTATGTTACAGCCTTATTCTAAAACGGATTAAGTTGTTTTTTTCCCTTATCAATCGACACACAATACCCCATAATGACAAAGCAAAAACAGGTTTTAGACATTTGTACAAATTTACTCAGTACTTTGTTGAAGCACCTTAGGCAGCGATTACAGTCTTCTTGGGTATGACGCTACAAGCTTGGCACACCTGTATTTGGGGAGTTTCTCCCATTCTTCTCTGCAGATTTTCAGGTCTCTCCAGAGATGTTAGATCGGGTTCAAGTCCGGGCTCTGGCTGGGCCACTCAAGGACATTCAGACTTGTCCTGAAGCCACTCCAGCGTTGTCTTGGCTGTGTGCTTAGGGTTGTTGTCCTGTTGGAAGGTGAACCTTCGCCCCAGTCTGAGGTCCTGAGCGCTTTGGAGCAGGTTTTCATCAAGGATCTCTCTGTACTTTGCTCCGTTCATCTTTCCCTCGATCCTGACTAGTCTCCCAGTCCCTGCCGCTGAAAAACATCCCCACAGCATGATGCTGCCACAACCATGCTTCACCGTAGGGATGGTGCCAGGTTTCCTCCAGACATGATGCTTGACATTTAGGCCAAAGAGTTCAATCTTGGTTTCGTCAGACCAGAGAATCTGGTTTCTCATGGTCTGAAAGTCCTTCAGGTACCTTTTGGAAAACTCCAAGCGGGCTGTCATGTGCCTTTTACTGAGGAGGGGCTTCCGTCTGGCCACTTTACCATAAAGGCCTGATTGGTGGAGTGCTGCAAAGATGGTTGTCCTTCTGGAAGGTTCTTCCATCTCCACAGAGGAACTCTGGAGCTCTGTCAGAGTGGCCATTGGGTTCTTGGTCACCTCCCTGACCAAGGCCCTTCTCCCCCGGTTGCTCAGTTTGGCCGGCCGGCCAGCTCTAGGAAGAGTGTTGGGGTTTCCAAACTTCTTCCATTTAAGAATGATGGAGGCCACTGTGTTCTTGGGACCTTCAATGCTGCAGACATCTTTTAGTACCCTTGCCCAGATCTGTGCCTCAACACAATCCTGTCTCGGAGCTCTACGGACAAGTCCTTCAACCTCATGGCTTAGTTTTTGCTCTGACATGCACTGTCAACTGTGGGACCTTGCAACGGTACCCCCCTGTATATATAGCCTCCCTACTGTCACTTTATTCTATTGTATATATAGCCTCCCTACTGTCACTTTATTTTTTACTTCTGCTCTTTTTTTCTCAACACTTTTTTGTTGTTGTTTTATTCTTACTTTTTTGTTTAAAATAAATGCACTGTTGGTTAAGGGCTGTAAGTAAGCATTTCACTGTAATGTCTGCACCTGTTGTATTCGGCGCATGTGACCAATAAATTTGATTTGATTTATATAGACAGGTGTGTGCCTTTCCAAATCATGTCCAATCAATTGCATTTATCACAGGTGGACTCCATTCAAGTTGTAGAAACATCTCAAGGATGATCAATGGAAACAGGATGGACCTGAGCTCAATTTCTAGTCTCATAGGAAACGGTCTGAATGCTTATGTAAATAAGATATTATTATTTTTATTTTTTTCTAAAAACCTGTTTTTCGCATTGTCATTATGGGTTTATTGTGTGTAGATAGATAAGGGGAAAAAATATTGAATCCATTTCAAGTCTGTAACGTAGCAAAATGTGGAAAAAGTCGAGGGGTCTGAATTCTTTCTGAATGCACTGTAGCAGTATAGTGTCTGAAGTTCCCATAATATCATTTGCATAAGGATGCCCTCTATCATTTAGATGTTGTTTGTGTCTGTATTGTGCATGCTTTCCATAATCTTTATTTTAACGACCTACATATGATTGATATTTTCCATAATCTTTATTTTGTTTGTCTCTATATAATCTAACATAATCCTTCCCTTCCCTGCCAGGACCCAGCGCGCGCGCGCGCTCGCTCTTCCCTACAACCCTCTCCGCGCCGAACCACGCCGCCGCGCGCGCCCCCGAACCCCGCCTTCCCCCGCCACACCCCGCCCCTCCCGACCGCCCTCTCTCTGCCTCCCCCTCGCTATAGCCCGCTCCGCTACCTCGCACCCGCCGCGCCCTACCGCCCTCCGCTCCTGAGGCTCCCTACAGCACCCTCCGCCTCTCCCCCCACCTCCCGCCCTCCCGCCCTCTCCGCCCACCTACCCCCCGCCTCTTCTCGACCTCACAGCCCTCGCCCGCCTCTCTCACCCCGCTCTCCACCCTCACTCCTCTCTCTCCCTCCGAACCCTCCCTCCCTCTCTCTCTCCTCCCTACCCTCCATCCCCCCTCTCGCCCTCCCCTACACCCTCTCTCTCATCTCTTCCCCCTCCTCTCTCTCTCTCTCCTTACCTCCCTTCTCGATTCTCCTTACCTCCCTCCCTCCCTCCCTCTCTTTCCTTCCTCAGACTGATATTATGCACCAGAGTGTGTATGAGCTGGTCCACACTGAGGACCAGCAGGAGCTGAGGAGGAACCTTCACTGGGCCCTCAGCCCACCTGCCGTCGTGGGAGAGTCCTCCTCAGGTGACTTCCTACCTCCATGTTAGACCCTGAAACACCACCTCCATGTTAGACCCTGAAACACCACCTCCATGATAGACCCTGAAACACCACCTCCATGTTAGACCCTGAAACACCACCTCCGTGTTAGACCCTGAAACACCACCTCCGTGTTAGACCCTGAAACACCACCTCCATGTTAGACCCTGAAACACCACCTCCATGTTAGACCCTGAAACACCACCTCCATGTTAGACCCTGAAACACCACCTCCATGTTAGACCCTGAAACACCACCTCCATGTTAGACCCTGAAACACCACCTCCATGTTAGACCCTGAAACACCACCTCCTTGTTAGACCCTGAAACACCACCTCCATGTTAGACCCTGAAACACCACCTCCATGTTAGACCCTGAAACACCACCTCCATGTTAGACCCTGAAACACCACCTCCATCAATTAAAAAACATTAATGGAGATTCAAACATAGAAATTAATGAAGAACTTTCAATAGCATTTCCTATGAATACCCTCTGCATAATGCATTACAAATGCAGTTATAATACCTTATGCGTAATGCATGAAATAAGTATATAATAACTCATTAGTATTATTATGCATTATATAAACATCCAGAACTAATAACTGCACATAAACATCTATAACCTTTACAACACTAAATCCGTAAACATGGGCACCCTCATAGATATCATCCTGACTAATTTAACCTCTAAATACACCTCCGCTGTCTTCAACCAGGATCTCAGCGATCACTGCCTCATTGTTTGCGTCCGTAATGGGTCCGTGGTCAAACGAACACCCCTCATCACTGTCAAACGCTCCCTAAAACACTTTAGCGAGCAGGCCTTTTTAATTGACCTGGCCCGGGTATCCTTTTTTTTTTTTTTTTTTTTTTTTTTTTACCTTTATTTAACCAGGTAAGCCAGTTGAGAACAAGTTCTCATTTACAACTGCGACCTGGCCAAGATAAAGCAAAGCAGTGCGATAAAAACAACAACACAGAGTTACATATGGGGTAAAAAAAAACATAAGGTCATAAAATACAACAGAAAATATATATACAGTGTGTGCAAATGTAGCAAGTTATGGAGGTTAGGCAATAAATAGGCTATAGTGCAAAATAATTACAATTAGTATTAACACTGGAATGCTAGATGTGCAAGAGATGATGTGCAAATACAGATACTGGGGTGCAAAAGAGCAAAATAAATAACAATATAGGGATGAGGTAGTTGGGTGGGCTAATTACAGATGGGCTGTGTACAGGTGCAGTGATCGGTAAGGTGCTCTGACAACTGATGCTTAAAGTTAGTGAGGGAGATAAGAGTCTCCAGCTTCAGAGATTTTTGCAATTCGTTCCAGTCATTGGCAGCAGAGAATTGGAAGGAATGGCGGCCAAAGGAGGTGTTGGCTTTGGGAATGACCAGTGAGATATACCTGCTGGAGCGCAGACTACGGGTGGGTGCTGCTATGGTGACCAATGAGCTAAGATAAGGCGGGGATTTGCCTAGCAGTGATTTATAGATGGCCTGGAGCCAGTGGGTTTGACGACGAACATGTAGTGAGGACCAGCCAACAAGAGCGTACAGGTCACAGTGGTGGGTAGTGTATGGGGCTTTGGAGACAAAACGGATGGCACTGTGATAGACTACATCCAATTTGCTGAGTAGAATGTTGGAGGCTATTTTGTAAATGACATCGCCGAAGTCAAGGATCGGTAGGATAGTCAGTTTTACGAGGGCATGTTTGGCAGCATGAGTGAAGGAGGCTTTGTTGCGAAATAGGAAGCCGATTCTAGATTTAACTTTGGATTGGAGATTCTTAATGTGAGTCTGGAAGGAGAGTTTACAGTCTAACCAGACACCTAGGTATTTGTAGTTGTCCACATACTCTAGGTCAGACCCGTCGAGAGTGGTGATTCTAGTCGGGTGGGCGGGTGCCAGCAGCGTTCGATTGAAGAGCATGCATTTAGTTTTACTAGTGTTTAAGAGCAGTTGGAGGCTACTGAAGGAGTGTTGTATGGCATTGAAGCTCGTTTGGAGGTTTGTTAACACAGTGTCCAATGAAGGGCCAGATGTATACAAAATGGTGTCGTCTGCGTAGAGGTGGATCTGAGAGTCACCAGCAGCAAGAGCGACATCATTGATATACACGGTGAAAAGAGTCGGCCCAAGAATTGAACCCTGTGGCACCCCCATAGAGACTGCCATAGGTCCAGACAACAGGCCCTCCGATTTCACACATTGAACTCTATCTGAGAAGTAGATGCCTGGTTGTTCTTTGTGCTTTCCTCTCCATCTTAAATAAGCATGCCCCATTCAAAAAATTCAGAACTAAGAACAGATATAGCCCCTGGTTCACCCCAGACTTGACTGCCCTTGACCAGCACAAAAACATCCTGTGGCATACTGCATTAGCATCAAACAGCCCCCGCGATATGCAACTTTTTAGGGAAGTCAGGAACCAATATACACAATCAGTTAGGAAAGCAAAGGCTAGCTTTTTCAAACAGAAAAGTCCAAAAGGTTTTGGGACACTGTAAAGTCCACGGAGAGTAAGAGCACCTCCTCCCAGCTGCCCAATGCACTGAGGCTAGGAAACACTATCACCACCGATAAATCTACGATAAACGAGGATTTCAACAAGCATTTTGCTATGGCTGGCCATGCTTTCCACCTGGCTACCCCTACCGCGGCCAGCAGCTCTGCACCCTCCGCTGCAACTTGCCCATGCCACCCCCCCCCGGCTTCTCCTTCAGCCAAATTCAGACAGCTGATGTTCTGAAAGAGCTGCAAAATCTGGACCTCTACAAATCAGCTGGGCTAGACAATCTGGACCCTTTCTTTCTAAAATTAGCCGCCGAAATTGTTGCAACCCCTATTACTGGCCTGTTCAACCTCTCTTTCGTATCGTCTGAGATCCCCAGAGATTGGAAAGCTGCCACGATCATCCCCCTCTTCAAAGGGGGTGACACTCTAGATACAAACTGTTACAGACCTATATCCATCCTGCCCTGCCTTTCGAAAGTATTTGAAAGCCAAGTGAACAAACAGATCACCGACCATTTCGAATCCCACCGTACCTTCTCCGCTACGCAATCTGGTTTCCGAGCTGGTCAAAGGTCCACCTCAGCCACACTCAAGGTCCTAAACGATATTATAACCGCAATCGATAAAAGACAGTACTGTGCAGCCATCTTCATTGACCTGGCCAAGGCTTTCAACTCTGTCAATCACCGCATTATTATTGGCAGACTAAATAGCCTTGGTTTCTCAAATGACTGCCTCGCCTGGTTCGCCAACTACTTCTCAGATAGAGTTCAATGTGTCAAATCGGAGGGCCTGTTATCTGGACCTCTGGCAGTCTCTATGGGGGTGCCACAGGGTTCAATTTTCGGGCCGACTCTATTCTCTGTGTATATCAATGATGTCGCTCTTGCTGCTGGTGGCTCTCAGATCCACCTCTACGCAGACGACACCATTTTGTATACATCTGGCCCTTCATTGGACACTGTGTTAACAAACCTCCAAACGAGCTTCAATGCCATACAACACTCTTTCAGTAGCCTCCAACTGCTCTTAAACACTAGTGAAACTAAATGCATGCTCTTCAATCGAATGCTGCGTGCACCCGCCCGCCCGACTAGAATCACTACTCTCGGCGGGTCTGACTTAGAATATGTGGACAACTACAAATACCTAGGTGTCTGGTTAGACCGTAAACTCTCCTTCCAGAGTCACATTAAGCATCTCCAATCCAAAGTTAAATCTAGAATCGGCTTCCTATTTCGTAACAATGCCTCCTTCACTCATGCTGCCGAACATGCCCTCGTAAAACTGACTATCCTACCGATCCTTGACTTCGGCGATGTCATTTACAAAATAGCCTCCAACACTCTACTCAGCAAATTGGATGTAGTCTATCACAGTGCCATCTGTTTTGTCACCAAAGCCCCATATACTACCCACCATTGTGACCTGTACGCTCTTGTTGGCTGGCCCTCACTACATGTTCGTCGCCAAACTCACTGGCTCCAGGTCATCTATAAATCACTGCTAGGCAAATCCCTGCCTTATCTTAGCTCATTGGTCACCATAGCAACACCCACCCGTAGTATGCGCTCCAGCAGGTATATCTCACTGGTCATCCCCAAAGCCAACACCTCCTTTGGCCGCCATTCCTTCCAGTTCTCTGCTGCCAATGACTGGAACGAACTGCAAAAATCTCTGAAGCTGGAGACACTTATCTCCCTCACTAACTTTAAGCATCAGTTGTCAGAGCAGCTTACCGATCACTGCACCTGTACACAGCCCATCTGTAATTAGCCCACCCAACTACCACATCCCCATATTGTTATTTATTTTGCTCATTTGCACCCCAGTATCTCTATTTGTACATCATCTTTTGCACATCTACCACTCCAGTGTTAATACTAAATTGTAATTATTTTGCACTATGGCCTATTTATTGCCTTACCTCCATAACTTACTACATTTGCACACACTGTATATAGATTTTCTATTGTGTTATTGACTGTACGTTTTTGTTTATTCCATATGTAACTCTGTGTTGTTGTTGTTTTTATCGCACTGCTTTGCTTTATCTTGGCCAGGTCGCAGTTGTAAATGAGAACTTGTTCTCAACTGGCTTACCTGGTTAAATAAAGGTGAAAAAAAGAAAAAAGAGAAAGGCTAAGGCCTCTGCACTGACCTACCTCTCCACTAGGGGGTGGTGTTGCACATTTGTCCTTCCCCTGCTAGAGAGTAAACCGTCACATGGCGTGCTAAGACCACATTAGCCTCTGGGGCTAATTACATACAGTACCAGTCAAAAGTTTGGACACCTACTCATTCCAGGGTTTTTCTTTATTTTTACTATTTTCTACATTGTAGAATAATAGTTAAGACATCACAACTATGAAATAACACATATGGAATCACGTAGTAACCAAAATAGTTTAAACAAATCAAAATATATTTTATATTTGAGATTCTTCAAAGTAGCCACTCTTGATGACAGCTTTACACACTCTTGGCATTCTCTCAACCAGCTTCATGAGGTAGTCACCTGGATTGCATTTCAAGTTAATTTGTGGAATTTCTTTCCTTCTTAATGCGTTTGAGCCAATCAGTTGTGTTGTGACAAGGTAGGGATGGTATACAGAAGATAGCCCTATTTGGTAAAAGACCAAGTCCATATTATGGCAAGAACAGCTCAAATAAGCAAAGAGAAACGACAGTCCATCATTACTTTAAGACATGAAGGTCAGTCAATTGGGAAAATTTCAAAAACGTTTAAAGTTTCTTCAAGTGCAGTCGCAAAAACCATCAAGCGCTATGATGAAACTGGCTCTCTTGAGGACCGCCACTGGAAGGAAGACCCAGTTACCTCTGCTGCAGAGGATAAGTTCATTAGAGTTACCAGCCTCAGAAATTGCAGCCCAAATAAAGGCTTCACAGAGTTCAAGTAACATACACATCTCAACATCAACTGTTCAGAGGAGACTGTGTGAATCAGGCCTTCATGGTCGAATTGCTGCAAAGAATCCACTACTAAAGGACATCAATAATAAGAAGAGACCTGCTTGGGCCAAGAAACACGATCAATGGACATTAGATCGGTGGAAATCTGTCCTTTGATCTGATGAATCCAAATTTGAGATTTTTGGTTCCAACCGCTGTCTTTGTGAGATGCAGTAGGTGACCGGATGATCTCCGCATGTGTGGTTCCCACTGTGAAGCATGGAGGAGGAGTAGTGATGGTGTGGGGGTGCTTTGCTGGTGACACTGTCTGTGATTTATTTAGAATTCAAGGCACACTTAACCAGCATGGCTACCACAGCATTCTGCAGTGATACACCATCCCATCTGGTTTGGGCTTAGTGGGACTATCATTTGTTTTTCAACAGGACAATGACCCAACACACCTCCAGGCTGTGTAATGGCTATTTGACCAAGAAGGAGAGTGATGGAGTGCTGCATCAGATGACCTGGCCTCCACAATCACCCGACCTCAACCCAATTGAGATGGTTTGGGATGAGTTTGACCGCAGAGTGTAGGAAAAGCAGCCAACAAGTGCTCAGCATATGTGGGGACTCCTTCAAGACTGTTGGAAAAGCATTCCAGGTGAAGCTGGTTGAGAGAATGCCAAGAGTGTGCAAAGCTGTCATCAAGGCAAAGGGTGGCTACTTTGAAGAATCTCAAATATAAAATATATTTTGATTTGTTTAACACTTTTTTGGTTACTACATGATTCCATATGGGTTATTTCATAGTTTTGATGTCTTCACTATTATTCTACAATGTAGAAAATAGTAAAAATAAAGAATAACCCTTGAATGAGTAGCTGTGTCCAAAGTTTTGACTGTTACTGTAAGTGTATTTTCAACAGAGCTAGGAGACCACGGCAACTGAGGACAGGACACACAGTCGGGTCAAGAATTACTCCAGAGGCCACACACAGAACAGAAAAGAACAGAAGCAGAACAGAACAGTTAGCATTTAGAATGTGCTGAGGGATATTGAATAAAGCTTTGTTTAAAGTGTCATGACACATCTCTCAGCAGACACCCAAGCCAGACACCTCACATCAGCCCAACCATTCATGTCAACTCTCAGTCAACAATGTTGTTACTCATTTGTTAGCTTTTTGTGTTGATGAATTCCTGTACGATCATAAAAATGATTATTATTTCATGATTACATAATCAGTTTATCATTAATTACCTGTTTGTGTGACAATTTTAGAGAAGTTGCACACATTTGTTCTGTTTCTACAGTGTGACTGAACTGTATACTGTAATCTTGAGGATAGTTTTCAAATATATTGCAATAGGTGGTTAGATGATTTTGATGGTAAAGCCTGGTCTGAACATGTCATATCTTCTGATCCATAGATGTGGAGCCAGAGAGCAGCACCACTGTGACCTATAACCCTGAGCAGCTCCCCCCAGAGAACTCCTCCTTCCTGGAGAGGAACTTTGTGTGTCGCTTCCGCTGCCTCCTGGACAACTCCTCTGGCTTCCTGGTAGGTTTTATTGACACCCCAGCCCTCAGCTCGTCCGAACACCCCTCACCTCGTCCGAACACCCCTCACCCCGACCAAACACTACTCACCCCGACCGAATTTCTCCAATCTCCCACTAGTGTGTGTCTATTAGTATTTTAAGCTCACTCAGAGGAATGCTCACACATTGAGATAGTGTGATAGTGTGATATGTTAACGCATTGAGATAGTGTGATATGTTAATACATTGCGATACAATTTTAATGGATGAACATGGAAATCAGGTTCAATTAAACATGTTGTCGGAAAGACTTTGGACAGATAATCAAACACATGGACAATGGTAGATGTAAAGATACATGTCTGAAACAAATGTTTGCGTTCTCCCCCCCTGCCAGGCCCTGAGTCTGCAGGGCAGGCTGAAGTTCCTGCACGGTCAGAACCAGCGGCAGGATAACGGGGACAAGGCGTCGCCCCAGCTGGCCCTGTTTGCCATCGCTACGCCCCTCCAGCCCCCCGCCATCCTGGAGATCAGGACCAAGAACATGATCTTCAGAACCAAACACAAGCTGGACTTCACCCCCATGGCCTGCGACGCAAAGTATGCTCACTTTGACTTCCTCGTTATCATGATGATGTTGTTGTGGCAGTTGCAATCATCCAAATAAATAGACTACTATACAATAGTATTGAATAGACTCATTTGTCAGTCATAATGCTATTGTTATGTAGTACTGGTTATTATATTATGTGGAATAATGTTTATTGACATTATCCCTTTTGCAGGGGGAAAATTGTGCTTGGGTATACTGAAGCTGAACTTCGGGTGCGAGGCTCCGGGTATCAGTTTATCCATGCGGCGGATATGTTGTACTGCGCTGAGAACCATGTCCGAAGTAAGCCTCGCCTCCATTATGTCTACCTAAAAATACAAACATGGGAGTATTTATTTGGATTGGGTTGAATTGGTTCTGTCCTCAAACATTGGTGAGGCCAGGTCTGACCAGGTCAAAGATGGTGGTCACAGAGTTCACACAGCTTTCCCAAGTAATCCCAGTGGATTACGGAGCAGATTGAGCCGCTAGAGGATAGGCCACAGATCCACTACATGAGCAGAGCAGCAGCAATAATCCATATACACCATTTACACATCATGATAGTTTAATATACAGCTGCGGAAAAAATTAAGAGACCACTGCAAAATTATCATTTTCTCTGGTTTTACTATTTATAGGGTATGTGTTTGGGTAAAAATAACCTTTTTGTTTTATTCTATAAACTACTGACAACATTTCTCCCAAATTCCAAATAAAAATATTGTCATTTAGAGCATTTATTTGCAGAAAATGACAACTGGTCAAAATAACAAAAATGATGCAGTGTTGTCAGACCTTGAATAATGCAAAGAAAATAAGTTAATGTTCATTTTTAAACAACACAATACTAATGGTTTAACTTAGGAAGAGTTCAGAAATCAATATTTGGTGGAATAACCCTGATTTTCAATCACAGCTTTCATGCGTCTTGGCATGCTTTCCACCAGTCTTTCACATTGATGTTGGGTGACTTTATGCCACTCCTGGCGCAAAAATTCAAGCAGCTCGGCTTTGTTTGATGGCTTGTGACCATCCATCTTCCTCTTGATCACATCCCAGAAGTTTTCAATGGGGTTCAGGTCTGGAGATTGGGCTGGCCATGACAGGGTCTTGATCTGGTGGTCCTCCATCCACACCTTGATTGACCTGGCTGTGTGGCATGGCACATTGTCCTGCTGGAAAAACCAATCCTCAGAGTTGGGGAACAATGTCAGAGCAAAAGGAAGCAAGTTTTCTTCCAGGACAACCTTGTACGTGGCTTGGTTCATGCGTCCTTCACAAAGACAAATCTGCCCGATTCCAGCCTTGCTGAAGCACCCCCAGATCATCACCGATCCTCCACCAAATTTCACAGTGGGTGCGAGACACTGTGGCATGTAGGCCTCTCCAGGTCTCTGTCTAACCATTAGACAACCAGGTGTTGAGCAAAGCTGAAAATTGGACTCAGAGAAGATGACCTTACTCCAGTCCTCTATGGTCCAATCCTTATGGTCTTTTGCAAACCTCTTCTTTGCTTTACTCAAAGCCAGTGGCATGTCGTTAGTAAAGATTGAAAAAAGTAAGGGGCCTAAACAGCTGACCTGGTTAATTCCTGATTCTACCTGGATTATGTTGGAGAGGCTTCCATTAAAGACACCCTCTGTGTTCTGTTAGACAGGTAACTTTTTATCCACAATATAGCAGGGGGTGTAAAGCCATAACACAATACAGTTGAAGTTGGAAGTCTACATACACTTAGGTTGGAGTCATTAAAACTCGTTTTTCAACCACTCCAAAAATGTCTTGTTAACAAACTATAGTTTTGGCAAGTCGGTTAGGACATCTACTTTGTGCATGACAGAAGTTACACTAAGTTGACGGTGCCTTTAAACAGCTTGGAAAATTCCAGAAAATGTAATGGCTTTAGAAGCTTCTGATAGGCTAATTGACATCATTTGAGTCAATTGGAGGTGTACCTGTGGATGTATTTCAAGGCCAACCTTCAAACTCAGTGCCTCTTTGCTTGACATCATGGGAAAATCAAAATAAATCAGCCAAGACCTCAGAAAAAAAATTGTAGACCTCCACAAGTCTGGTTCATCCTTGGGAGCAATTTCCAAACGCCTGAAGGTACCACGTTCATCTGTACAAACAGTAGTACGCAAGTATAAACACCATGGGACCACCCAGCCGTCATACCGCTCAGGAAGGAGACGTGTTCTGTCTCCTAGAGATGAACGTACATTGGTGTGAAAAGTGCAAATCAATCCCAGAACAACAGCAAAGGACCTTGTTAAGATGCTGGAGGAAACAGGTACAAAGGTATCTATATCCACAGTCAAACGAGTCCTATATCGACATAACCTGAAAGGCCGCTCAGCAAGGAAAAAGCCACTGCTCCAAAACCGCCATTAAAAACCAGACTACGGTTTGCAACTGCACATGGGGACAAAGATCGTACTTTTTGGAGAAATGTCCTCTGGTCTGATGAAACAAAAATAGAACTGTTTGGCCATAATGACCATCGTTATGTTTGGAGGAAAAAGGGGAATGCTTGCAAGCCGAAGAACACCATCCCAACCGTGAAGCACGGGGGTGGCAGCATCATGCTGTGGGGGTACTTTGCTGCAGGAGGGACTGGTGCACTTCACAAAATAGATGGCATCATGAGGAAGGAAGATTATGTGGATATATTGAAGCAACATCTCAAGACATCAGTCAGGAAGTTAAAGCTTGGTCGCAAATGGGTCTTCCAAATGGACAATGACCCCAAGCATACTTCCAAAGTTGTGGCAAAATGGCTTAAGGACAACAAAATCAAGGTATTGGAGTGGCCATCGCAAAGCCCTGACCTCAATCCTATAGAAAATGTGTGGGCAGAACTGAAAAAGCGTGTGCGAGCAAGGAGGCCTACAAACCTGACTCAGTTACACCAGCTATGTCAGGAGGAATGGGCCAAAATTCACCCAACTTATTGTGGGAAGCTTGTGGAAGGCTACCCGAAACATTTGACCCAAGTTAAACAATTTAAAGGCAATGCTACCAAATACTAATTGAGTGTATGTAAACTTCTGACCCACTGGGAATGTGATTAAATAAATAAAAGCTGAAATAAATCATTCTCTCTACTATTATTCTGACATTTCACATTCTTAAAATAAAGTGGTGATCCTAACTGACCTAAAACAGGGAATTTTTACTAGGATTAAAATCAAATCAAATTTTATTTGTCACATGCACGTGTTTAGCAGATGTTATAGCGGGTGTAGCGAAATGCTTGTGCTTCTAGCTCCGACAGTGCAGTAATATCTAACAAGTAGTATCTAACAATTTCACAACATTTACCTAATACACACAAAACTAGTATGGAATGGGATTTAAGAATATATACATATATGGACAAGCAATGACAGAGCGGCATGGACTAAGATACAGTAGAATATTATAGAATAGAATGCAGTATATACATATGAGATGAGTAGTGCAAGATATGTAAACATTATTAAAGTGACTAGTGTTCCTTTTCTTAAAGTGACCAGTGATTTCAATAGGCAGCAGCAGCCTCTAATGTGCTAGTGATGGCTATTTAACAGTCTGATGGCCTTGAGATACAGTGGGGGAAAAAAGTATTTAGTCAGCCACCAATTGTGCAAGTTCTCCCACTTAAAAAGATGAGAGTGGCCTGTAATTCTCATCATAGGTACACGTCAACTATGACAGACAAATTGAGGAAAAAAAATCCAGAAAATCACATTGTAGGATTTTTTATGAATTTATTAGCAAATTATGGTGGAAAATAAGTATTTGGTCACCTACAAACAAGCAAGATTTCTGGCTCTCACAGACCTGTAACTTCTTCTTTAAGAGGCTCCTCTGTCCTCCACTCGTTACCTGTATTAATGGCACCTGTTTGAACTTGTTATCAGTATAAAAGACACCTGTCCACAACCTCAAACAGTCACACTCCAAACTCCACTATGGCCAAGACCAAAGAGCTGTAAAATGACACCAGAAACAAAATTGTAGACCTGCACCAGGCTGGGAAGACTGAATCTGCAATAGGTAAGCAGCTGGTTTGAAGAAATCAACTGTGCGAGCAATTATTAGGAAATGGAAGACATACAAGACCACTGATAATCTCCCTCGGTCTGGGGCTCCACGCAAGATCTCAACCCGTGGGGTCAAAATGATCACAAGAACGGTGAGCAAAAATCCCAGAACCACACGGGGGGACCTAGTGAATGACCTGCAGAGAGCTGGGACCAAAGTAACAAAGCCTACCATCAGTAACACACTACGCCGCCGTGACTCAAATCCTGCAGTCCCAGACGTGTCCCCCTGCTTAAGCCAGTACATGTCCAGGCCATTCTGAAGTTTGCTAGAGTGCATTTGGATGATCCAGAAGAGGATTGGGAGAATGTCATATGGTCAGATGAAACCAAAATATAACTTTTTGGTAAAAACTCAACTCATCGTGTTTGGAGGACAAAGAATGCTGAGTTGCATCCAAAGAACACCATACCTACTGTGAAGCATGGGGGTGGAAACATCATGCTTTGGGGCTGTTTTTCTGCAAAGGGACCAGGACGACTGATCCGTGTAAAGGAAAGAATGAATGGGGCCATGTATCGTGAGATTTTGAGTGAAAACCTCCTACCATCAGCAAGGGCATTGAAGATGAAACGTGGCTGGGTCTTTCAGCATGACAATGATCCCAAACACACCGCCCGGGCAACGAAGGAGTGGCTTCATAAGAAGCATTTCAAGGTCCTGGAGTGGCCTAGCCAGTCTCCAGATCTCAACCCCATAGAAAATCTTTGGAGGGAGTTGAAAGTCCTTGTTGCCCAGCGACAGCCCCAAAACATCACTGCTCTAGAGGAGATCTGCATGGAAGAATGGGCCAAAATACCAGCAACAGTGTGTGAAAACCTTGTGAAGACTTACAGAAAACGTTTGACCTGTGTCATTGCCGACAAAGGGTATATAACAAAGTATTGAGAAACTTTTGTTATTGACCAAATACTTATTTTCCACCATAATTTGCAAATAAATTCATAAAAAATCCTACAATGTGATTTTCTGGATTTTTTTTCTCTCATTTTGTCTGTCATAGTTGACGTGGACCTATGATGAAAAGTACAGGCCTCTCTCATCTTTTTAAGTGGGAGAACTTGCACAATTGGTGGCTGACTAAATACTTTTTTTCCCCACTGTAGAAGCTGTTTTTCATTCTCTCTGTCCCAGCTTTGATGCACCTGTACTGACCTCGCCTTCTGGATGATAGCGGGGTGAACAGGCAGTGGCTCGGGTGGTTGATGTCCTTGATGATCTTTTTGGCCTTCCTGTGACATCGGGTGCTGTATGTGTCTTGGAGGGCGGGTAGTTTGCCCCCGGTAATGCGTTCGGCAGACCGCACAACCCTCTGGAGAGCCCTGCAGTTGCGGACCCAGTTGCACTGGGCGGGGTTCAGACCCAGGGCCTCAAGCTTAATGATGAGCTTGGAGGGTACTATGGTGTTGAATGCTGAGCTATAGTCAATGAACAGCATTCTTACATAGGTATTCCTCTTGTCCAGATGGGCTAGGGCAGTGTGCAGTGTGATGGCGATTGCATCGTCTGTGGATCTATGTCGTCTGTGGATTAAATGTCAGGAATTGTGAAAAACTGAGTTTAAATGTTTTTGGCTAAGGTGTATGTAAACTTCTAACTTCAACTGTACCTCTCTGTTGATATCAGATACATTATCAAGCATTTCACACATATTATCCAGACACTGACTGTTAGCACTTGGTGGTCTATAGCAGCTTCCCACCAGAATGGGCTTTAGGTGAGGCAAATGAACCTGTAGCCATATTACTTCAACAGTATTTAACATGAGATCCTCTCTAAGCTTTACAGGAATGTGGTTCTGAATATAGAGCACAACACCACCCCCGTTGGCATTTCTGTCTTTTCGGTAGATGTTATAACCATGTATTGCCTACCACTGTATCATCAAAGGTATTATCTTAGTGAGTTTTAGATATAGTCAGAATATGAATGTAAATCTGTTATAAGCATGTTATTGACTTCATGAACCTTGTTTCTTAGGCTACAAATGTTAATATGGGCATTTTCAGCACTTTTCTGGGTTGCTTGATGGTTTATAATGCTTTACTGGGAAGCATCAGAAGTAGACTTGCTCATGTTATTTATATTGGAGCTGATAGTGCAGGGTGTGCTGTACACAGTGGACTTCCTACTAGGGCACATCGCCTCAGTGTTAACAGTGTAACTCTGGTTCATAGGCACATGATTACTGCATTCAATAGCAGTAGGATCAACAGAGGTATTCAGGGCAATTAGGGGGACATAAATTAAGTTACTTACATTGTGTCTGCCAACGCCCCTGGGATAATGATGCAGCATTATGACGACTCGGTGTCACAATGGTAGGGATTAACTGAGCTGGTCTTGGGTCATTGACAAGTCATTGTCTCAACGCAGCCTTAAAATGTGTGGACAGAGTCCAGGAGCCAAGATGATTTGGATGGTCATTCCTGTAGAGTATCTTCTGTTTCCAGAAGGTGTCAACGTTATCTATAAAAGTGATTCCAACAGAGCTACAGTAATCTTTTAGCCATATGTGTGGCCTACCGCTTTGCGGCTGAGCCGTTGTTGCTCCTACAGTGCCTTGCAAAAGTATTCATCCCCCTTGGCATTTTTCCAATTTTTTTGCATTACAACCTGTAATTTAAATGGATTTTTATTTGGATTTCATGTAATGGACGTACACAAAATAGTCCAAATTGGTGAAGTGAAATGAAAACAATTACTTGATTCAAAAAATTCTAAAAAATTAATAATGGAAAAGTGGTGCATGCATATGTATTCACCCCCTTTGCTATGAAGCCCCTAAATAAGATCTAGTGCAACCAATTACCATCAGAAGTCACATAATTAGTTCAATAAAGTCCACCTGTGTGCAATCTAAGTGTCAGATGATCTCAGTATATATATACACCTGTTCTGAAAGGCCCCAGAGTCTGCAACACCACTAAGAAAGGGGCACCACCAAGCAAGCGGCACCATGAAGACCAAGGAGCTCTCCAAACAGGTCAGGGAAAAAGTTGTGGAGAAGTAGAGATCAGGGTTGGGTTATAGAAAAATATCTGAAACTTTGAACATCCCACGGAGCACCATTAAATCCATAATTAAAAAATTGAAAGAATATGGCACCACAACAAACCTGCCAAGAGAGGGCCACCCACCAAAACTCACAGACCAGGCAAGGAGGGCATTAATCAGAGGGGCAACAAAGAGACTAAAGATAACCCTGAAGGAGCTGCAAAGCTCCACAGCGGAGACTGGAGTATCTGTCCATAGGACCACTTTAAGCCGTACACTCCACAGAGCTGGGCTTTACGGATGAGTGGCCAGAAAAAAGCCATGGGATGGCGCTAAATACAGGGAAATTCTTGAGGGAAACCTGTTTCAGTCTTCCAGAGATTTGAGACTGAGACGGAGGTTCAACTTCCAGCAGGACATTGACCTAAGCACACTGCTAAAGCAACACTCGAGTGGTTTAAGGGGAAACATTTAAATGTCTTGGAATGGCCTAGTCAAAGCCCAGACCTCAATCCAATTGAGAATCTGTGGTATGACTTAAAGATTGCTGTAGACCAGTGGAACCCATCCAACTTGAAGGAGCTGGAGCAGTTTTGCCTTGAAGAATGGGCAAACATCCCAGTGGCTAGATGTGCCAAGCTTTTAGAGAAATACCCCAAGAGACTTGCAGCTGTAATTGCTGCAAAAGGTGGCTCTACAAAATATTGACTTTGGGGGGGGGTGAATAGTTATGCACGCTCAAATTTTCAGTTTTTTAGTCTAATTTCTTGTTTGTTTCACCCCCAAAAAATATTTTGCATCTTCAAAGTGGTAGGCATGTTGTGTAAATCAAATGATACAAATCCCCCAAAAATCCATTTTAATTCCAGGTTGTAAGGCAACAAAATAGGAAAAATGCCAAGGGGGGTGAATACTTTCACAAGCCACTGTATACGTTTCCACTTCACAATAACAGCACTTCCAGTTGACCGGGGCAGCTCTAGCAGGGCAGAAATGTGACGAACTGACTTGTTGGAAAGGTGGCATCCTGTGACGGTGCCACATTGAAAGTCACTGAGCTCTTAAGGAAGGCCATTCTACTGTCTATGGAGATTGCATGGTTGTGTACTCGATTTTATACACCTGTCAGCAACGGTGCGGGTGAAATAGCCGAATCCACTAATTTGAAGAAGGGGTGTCCACATACCTTTTGTATATATAGTATAGCTACCAACATAGCCACACAATGAATATTACAGGGTACATCTAGTTACCCCCTCTGCGTAACGGAATTTGCTCTAGATTCTAGATTGGTCCTCTGTAGCTCAACTGGTAGAGCACGGCGCTTGTAACGCCAAGGTAGTGGGTCCGATCCCCGGGACCACCCATACACAAAAAAAAATGTATGCACGCATGACTGTAAGTCGCTTTGGATAAAAGCGTCTGCTAAATGGCATATTATTATTATTATTATTATTCTAGATTCCTAGCTACCATTGCCTTATACTCCTTGACAGAGTCCAGGGTAACTATTAAAGGAAAAAGGTAGCTAGCAAGAAATGTTTGGTTTTTCAGAACATCTTCAGAAAGTTGAACCATGAACCTGATTCCTAATCTATTGCACCCATTGCCACATCTGCCTACTAGTGCTGTAGCTTGAATTGAATGTCATTTACCGTGTGAATGTATACCATCCCATCCTAAATGACTGTGTCCTGTGGTTCCAGTGATGAAGACAGGGGAGAGCGGACTGACCGTGTTCAGGCTTCTCACCAAGGACAACCTCTGGAAGTGGGTCCAGGCCAACGCCAGGCTGGTGTACAAGAACGGCAAACCAGACTACATCATCGCCACACAGAGGCCTCTGGTGTACGTGCACTCCCCTGGGCTCTGTCACACCAAACCCCACTGTCTGGGAACAGTCGTTTTCCTCACAGTCCTCATAGCCGTAGGGCCACAGTTATGACATAGTTATGACGCTGTTCTTCTGATGTGAATAAAACACCAGACAACACAGATGGAGGAAGGGATTATGTGGTCCTCTGTAGTTCAGTTGGTAGAGCATGGTCCTCTGTAGTTCAGTTGGTAGAGCATGGTCCTCTGTAGCTCAGTTGGTAGAGCATGGTCCTCTGTAGTTCAGTTGGTAGAGCATGGTCCTCTGTAGTTCAGTTAGTAGAACATGGTCCTCTGTAGTTCAGTTGGTAGAGCATGGTCCTCTGTAGCTCAGTTGGTAGAGCATGGTCCTCTGTAACTCAGTTGATATAGCATGGTGCTTGTAATGCCAGGGTAGTGGGTTTGAGACGGAGATCTCACAGGTGCTGTTTGTTTTCTCTCCATCTAGGGAGGAGGAAGGAGGCGAACACCTACGTAAACGTTCCATGCACCTCCCCTTTACCTTCGCCACGGGAGAGGCCCTGCTCTACCAGTCCAACCATCCAATTGGACGCTTCAACCACGGCGCCCAGGGCTCCAAGAAGAACGGCAACAAGTCCAAGAAGGGCCGGTTTGATAGGGCGTCCAGGGATGGCATGGACCCGGGCTCCCTCTTGGGGGCGCTGATGAGTCAGGATGAGTCTGTGTATGTCTGCCAGCCGGCCCTGGAGCCCAAGCTGTCCTTCCACAGCAGTCTGTTCGGAGACCGGGTCGGCCTCTCTGACTCCGACCCCACCGCCCTACTCCAGGGCTGGGATGAGTCGTCCAACGGAGTGGTGGGTCCGGGGCTTTCAGAGCCGGCGTCGAGCTTCGACCCTATGCTGGCGACCCTGGACTCCCTGTCCCTGAGGGGTCTGTGGGGTGTGGTGGGTCGGGATGGGGATGGAGGCAATGAGGAGAACTGTTCCAACGGGGAGCTGTTTGGGGCTCTGGAGGGCCTGGGGCTGAGCGCCGAGGACCTGGAGCTGCTGCTGCTAGACGAGAGGATGATCCGGGTGGAGATGGACCCGGAGCGGGTTCCCACCCTGGATGACCTGCTGACCAACGATGAAATACTCTCCTACATCCACGACTCCCTGGAGGCAAAGACAGACGCGGCAGAGGACGGGGACCAGGTACCCTCCACTATCCCAGCTACAACTGCCCCAAAAACCACCACAAAAACAACAAAGGCTCCTGTTGAAAGTAATCCCACTTCTGCCATCAATGTGTACTCTCAGTACGTTCCCCATAAGGCCCCCATAGTTCAGCTCTCCCAGCAGATGCAGCAGCACCTCAGCATGCAGCCAGGGAGGACGGTCCAAGACTGGGCCCAGCATAACAACCACTTGTCCCATCCCCTGGTGAATGGACTGCAGGGGCAGAGTCAGCCCATACACAGCGGACAATGGACATCCCAGCACATTCTAGCCAGTACAGGGGTCCCGGTTGACCACTGTCACAACCCCCAGACTCTGTTCAATGGAAAGGCGTCAGAGCCGGACGGGGACCTTCACTGGCGGCAAGCCCAGCAACATCAACACTACCTCCAGCAGCAGCAGGCCGGAGTCCAGAGCCAGCACCCTCTGTGCCATGCCAAACATCCAGGCGCTAATCTCAACGGAGTGTGTGGCATTCCAAACACACACACAGAGCATCGCCCAGCTGGCAAACAGCAGTGGCAGGACTATAGCTACTGCCACCCTGGGGAAACCACCCTGAACAGCAACCCCCCTGGGGAAACCACCCTGAACAGCAACCGCCCTGGGGAAACCACCCTGAACAGCAACCGCCCTGGGGAAACCACCCTGAACAGCAACCCCCCTGGGGAAACCACCCTGAACAGCAACCCCCATGGGGAAACCACCCTGAACAGCAACCCCTGCCTTAACAATGGCCACATACCTCTCCTCACACACACCACCGTAGACGCTTGTATGGTTGATGTTCCCGGCATGGATTATACCATCAATGGAGATACGTATGGGGGGAACGGGCAGCACCACGGGACAGAGGCTGCCGTTTCGTCCTACCAGAGGATGGACAACAAGAAGCAGCAGCTACAGCAGGAGAAGTTGGCCCCTCCCTTGGCCCAGGTGCTGTCCAGCCTCTCGCAGTGCCCTCCGCCCTCCGCTACCATAGAGCAGATCCTTGGGGTTGGACACTCCTCACTGGAGGCCAACGGCATGGTGACCTCTGACATCCCTCACCACCCCAACCACAGTAAGGTGAGACCACAGTGATTTTATATTCATACATTGAGGATACAAAACATTAAGAACACCTGCTCTTTCCATGACAGACTGACCAGGTGAATCCAGGTGAAAGCTATGATCCCTTATTGAGGTCACTTGTTAAATTCACTTAAATCAGTGTAGATGAAGGGGAGGAGACAGGTTAAAGAAGGATTTTTAAACCTTGAGACATGGATTGTGTATGTGTGCCATTCAGAGGTTGAATGGGCAGGACAAAATATTTAAGTGCGTTTGAACGGGGTATGGTAGTAGGTGCCAGGCGCACCGGTTTGTGTCAAGAACTGCAACGTAGCTGGGTTTTTCACGCTCAACAGTTTCCTGTGTGTATCAAGAATGGTCCACCACCCAAAGGATGTCCAGCCAACTTGACACAACTGTGGGAAGCATTGGAGTCAACATGGGCCAGCATCCCTGTGGAACACTTTCGACACCTTGCAGAGTCCATGTCCCGACAAATTGAGGCTGTTCTGAGGACAAAAGGGGGGGTGCAACTCAATATTAGGAAGGTGTTCCTAATGTTATGTACACTCAGTGTATTGTCTTCTAATTGTATTCCTTTGGGTGAGAGCTCCTAACAGTGGCATTATGTTATGGATAGGGATTGGTTAAGTTTAGGGTTAAGGTTAGGTTAGGGCTGGTTTACGATTAATGGTAGGGTTAAGGTTAGGTTAGGGCTGGTTTATGATTAATGGTAGGGTTAAGGTTAGGTTAGGGCTGGTTAGGGTTAATGATAGGGTTAAGGTTAGGGTAGGGCTGGTTTACGATAAATGGTAGGGTTAAGGTTTGGTTAGGACTGGCTGGTTTACGATTAATGGTAGGGTTAAGGTTAGGTTAGGGCTGGTTTACAATGAATGGTAGGGTTAAGGTTAGGGTAGGGCTTATAATTAATGGACTTTTTTGTAGGGGTTGATACATTTTACGTAAGGGAAAATCAAGTCTGAAATGTCAAAATGGAAATTACAAACATGACAAGCCTTTTTAAACCTCAAATACACTACACGTTTTACATTTCCTGCATTGCAGGAAAGTTCTCCTGCAACAGGGTGATCAGATTAAGATTCTACATCTGTACACCTCTTCCCAAAACCTTCATATTGATTTGAGGAACAGTGCAGGATACAACAGAGCTGGGACAATGGTCCCTAATAGAGGGCCTCAGGGGACTTGCAAGCTGGACAGTGGAGGCCAAAGTTCTGAATAATCCCCCTAGTTGCTTTGCATTGTTGGTTTTGTCTTCAGTGAACATAATGGAGTTGACGTAAATGGCCACTCATACAGTAAGACACAACACACAGTAGAAGCCCTCTAACTTCAACACAATGAAATCTGGTGCTAACTGTTCCTTGACAGATTCCTACTTTCACTCCTCCTGTCAACAATAACATCATGATTCCTCCCCTCCTCTTCATGAGTATTCAACAATAACATCATGATTCCTCCCCTCCTCGTCATGAGTATTCAACAATAACATCATGATTCCTCCCCTCCTCTTCATGAGTATTCAACAATAACATCATGATTCCTCCCCTCCTCTTCATGAGTATTCAACAATAACATCATGATTCCTCCCCTCCTCTTCATGAGTATTCAACAATAACATCATGATTCCTCCCCTCCTCTTCATGAGTATTCAACAATAACATCATGATTCCTCCCCTCCTCTTCATGAGTATTCAACAATAACATCATGATTCCTCCCCTCCTCTTCATGAGTATTCAACAATAAAGTTGATATAATGTTATTTTTGCACCCCTTTTGTGGCACTTGTCCTGTGTGTCAGTTCGGCTGTCCCCTAATGGATAACCCTTTGAAGAACCCTTTTTGGTTCCAGGTAGAACCCTTTTGGTTCCAAGTAGAACCTTTTTTTGGTTCCATGTAGAACCCTTTCCACAGAGGGTTCTACATGGAACTCAAAACGGTTCTACCTGGAACCAAAAAGAGTGGTCCTATGGGGACAGCTGAAGAACCCTTTTGGAGCCCTTTTTTTCTAGTGTGGCATTTAATTAATGGCCACTATTTAAAGGGAACTGACAAGCAGTAAGGTTCAATAGTTCACACCAGGACAGGAGGTGCTATTCAGGGCCGCAATGTGTTTAGATAAATCATTACAATCACGATTCATTCAAGAATAACTTCAATAATTAATACTGCAAATCACAAAATGGGTAAGTTTAAGTTAAAATAATTTTTTAGATTGATGATTTTTGATGGTTTGATATTGAGAATGTATCTTTCAACAGCTCTTTATTAAATTGCCAATACTGCTGACAATGCAGTCATAGGTATTCCACGTGTCAATCTGCTGCTGGTAATCAACATCATATCCTATTCACAAGCTGAAATGCAGTTTCCCTTCATTGTTTCCACGTATTCCTCTTTTCTCAGATGGAAAATGGCTGCATTCTTAACGGGACCTACTCAGGAGGCTGTGCTCTGCCCAATGGGAGTGGTGCCCTCTAATGGCCAGCCTCCCAGACCCCAAGGCCTCAGGCTTTTACCTCTGACTGGGCAGCTCCAGGGGACACAAACCGATTGGAGGGTCACACCCACCCACCCTACCACTGGACCAGCTTGTTACCGTACAACTAGTTGACAACATGGAAACAAAAGCAACACTTAGGCCTAAATGTTTTCGGTACTTTTGTTTGGCTGGGTTTGATGTTTCATAATAACGTAATTATTGTTTGAGTCCTTTGTTTACAATATGGCGTCGGAGCGCTAAAGTTGAGTTTTTTTTTAATAACGCAGAAGAAGAAAAGAGTCTTAGAAGTGTTGTTTCTGTGTTTTTCATCCCAGGTTGAAGGACAACATGGTCTTTGGTAGTCAGGGAGACACTACCTAACCCAGCATTGGTAGTCAGGGAGACACTACCTAACCCAGCATTGGTAGTCAGGGAGACACTACCTAACCCAGCCTGTAGAGATGCTTATGGCACCATCATCTTTATGATTTGTTGTGACACATGACATCATGATCAGTGTTATGAGTTGTCATACAACAGGAATGTAACCTTCAAATGCAAAGTTCAGTGCTCATGAGTTTCCTCTATTGGGTAACATAATGAATTGTCTTAGCACATTAGATTAAGTAATGTAAAGCTTTGAAGAAGAAGAAGAAAAAAGGTTTAGAATATCTGAATTTGGTCTAGAATATCCTGCACTTTATTTCAAGCACCCAGTGATGCAGATACGGTAGTCGGTCGGGGACACTAGGGTTATTTTGGTCCCAAAAAAATGTTACAGAGATGGACCTTCTTTTACATTTCAATATTTGAGGTTGGGAAATCTGTAACAATTATTGTATTTTTGTTCCATTTTTGCAGTATTCAATTTCAGGTGATGGGTTGATATCCTCACAGGCGCATACACTTCTGTACAATTGTCTTTTTTTTTTCACTTGAATTATCATTTTGTTGTTGTCGTTGACATCTTGTACCTCTGGGTGAGTGTTTGTCCAATACTAAGGTAAACTGTGACTGAACTAGCAGAAAGCTCATTTGAATTCAGTATTTATTCATTCGTGATTCAAGTCCTCTAACATACGTTACAAGATACCATCTTGTAGGGATGGGAAGTACTGTATATCGTCAGAATCTAGACGTTGACAGCAACTATTCCGGTCTTATGATGAAGATCTAATAACAGTTCACTGATAAATCTGAAAACCAAACGTGAGTATTATAAAGGTCTCTTCTGAAAGGATACCATGTTGAATGTTTTATGTAAATACTAAATGATTGGGAAGTAATGGTAAATATAATTCTTTCATCATGGAGACGCTGAAAAGAGATTTCCTTGTAGTTACAATAATTATCGTCATTATTATTGTTATTAGTGTGTTTTAAGTTGAAATGTGATACAAGTGGTTACCTGTTTTCAGAATCAACTTGGTTTCTTTCCCCCTTTCTTTTATACTATGAAAATGTTTGATATATTTAATATGATTGGTGTGACCTATTAACAATGTGATTTTAAAAAAAGTGTACATAAAAACAAACAATGGTTTTGAGAAATAGAGGTATGTAAATAGGTTCTGTGTCATTTCACTTGTTTTAAGCACTATTTTTAAAACACACTGCTGCTTATCAAACTCTTGTGTTGACTCCATTTGCATTGTACACGCACTTCCTCTCATGTCACACAAAAGGTTGGACTTCTGATGTTCCAAATTGGTGCCATACTACTGAAACTAATTCATTTAACGTTTTGATAACTTTATTTTGAGTCTTCTAAGTAGTCACATTGAATTTACTTTAACATGCTAACAGGAACAGATGTAGTTGTTATGAGATACATTTTTGACCCATGGCCTTTGCTGGTTTCAAATGTATTATTTTGGTCCTTTGAAATAAAGGATTTCTGCAATCACATTGATACTCTAATAATATTAACATTATTTGACAAATGTGTTCAAGCGAGTTTTGTCTTCAAGGGTTTTTGGCATACAGATATAGGATATTAATTTGACCAGTATCTCACAGTAGGAAAATAATCCTTCAGCAACAGGAAATGTGAATTATTGTGGATTATAATTAATGGAGATTTATTTTGTTAGGGCAAATCAAGTCTGACATTTTAAAATTGAAATCACAAACTTTGGAAGCCTTTTTAAACCTTGAATACACTACAAGTTTGCATGGTAGGCGTCTTTGGGTCCATGAAAAGCGCTATATAAAAACCATGTATTACTATTATAATATTCAGTGAGTCACCTGAAAGATAACTACTGTGTCCAATGGAGACAAATATAAAAAGCATTAATCACATGAAAGAGGCAGACTAAAATAGCTTTTTATGATGGTTTGAACTTTGACCCTTGCTCTACCGCAGCAGTAGTTTAGAAGTATTCAGACAGGCTTTTAAAGGCATGGCCTGTTCACCGTCCTCTCCTACATACTCATTCATACTGCTATTTCGCCAGACCTCTCTCTCTCTCTCTCTCTCTCTCATGGGATTTCAGAGTTGGCTGCTATTTTTCATCATATCATAGCCTAAAAGCAAACATGGTAGGGCTGAGTAGACCCCTTCTTTATTTTAGAAGGACGACCATAGTCCTCTAATTATTTTGGTAAAATAAGAGTTTTTACTAGACATCACCGACAGAGTGGGGGAGAAAAGCAGACTAGAGTATTTGAGCTTGGTGCTTTCTGTTGTATGTTTGTTGTATCTTTCTGTGCCCAGTGGCCTCTACAGCCTTTGGCTTAGTCGGGGCTTTTCAAAAGACGAGAGATACATTTGGGTTAGCTGACGAGGCTTCTTTTGTCGTTGCTGCCGTTTCAGCTTTAACAGTGGAATGACCCAGACTGAGGAGCCTCGTCTCGGCCCACAGTACTCACCATGATACTTTGTGATCAGCGGGCCGCCAGAGGTGAACACAGGCCGAGTGGGGAAGAGTTTTAGTTTAGAGTTTGTTAGTGACATGCACAGGGTCACAGATGTAATTGCAGGGTACAGTGAAATCCTTCAGCTCCGAGCTCCAACTGTGCAGGTCAACAGACGTTAATGGGACAATAAGAAAAACAAATACATAAATACATATTTACAACAGTAACAATGATAAATGTCCGTTGAGGGGTAGGGGGGTAAAATGCCCATAGGTGGAGCAGCGGGGGGGAAGTCCGGGGGGCAGGAGGGGGACGGGGGGAGCAGGTAGCTGACTAGTGGTGACTATTCAGTAGCCTGATCGTCTGAGGGTAGAAGCTATTGGTCTGACAGTTTTTGCCATGATGCTCCTATACTGCCCGCGTCAGTGATGGATGCGGCGAGAACAGGCCATGGCTCGGGTGGCTGAGGTCTCTGATGATCTTCTTGGCCTTCCTGCGACAAGAGGGGGGGGGATAGCAGTCACAATATTGTGATGGTCCTTACACCATGGTTACTTTTCAGCTGGCTGTCTCCATAATACTCCTTCCCCCAGGTTAGTGGCTAAGCAACACTCCAAAATACTCCTTCCCCCAGGTTAGAGGCTAAGCAACACTCCATAATACTCCTTCCCCCAGGTTAGTGGCTAAGCAACACTCCATAATACTCCTTCCCCCAGGTTAGTGGCTAAGGAACAGCTTTTCTATACAAAATATACAATGAGTACAGTACAATATACAGCTACAGTTGAAGTCGGAAGTTTACATACACTTAGGTTGGAGTCATTAAAACTCGTTTTTCAACCACTCCACACATTTCTTGTTAACAAACTATAGTTTTGGCAAGTCAGTTAGGACATCTACTTTGTGCATGACACAAGTAATTTTTCCAACAATTGTTTACAGACAGATTATTTCACTTATAATTCACTGTATCACATTTCCAGTGGGTCAGAAGTTTACATACACTAAGTTGACTGTGCCTTTAAACAGCTTGGAAAATTCTAGAAAATGATGTCATGGCTTTAGAAGCTTCTGATAGGCTAATTGACATCATTTGAGTCA